GAAGGCCTCAAGCCGGGACGGAAGCCAGTCGCTCTCAAAAAGCTCTCCCGCCTCCGTTAGAAGAGGGTGGTTACTTCTGACCTTGACGGGAAGGTCAGTTAGTTAAACCGGGATGTGAGCGCGCTGTGTCCTCGGAGATGGCGGCAGGACGGCCGGGACGCCAGTGGCATTTCCAGCGAGGCTTCACCGGGCGGCCCGGGGACGGGGACGGAGGCGTCCTGGCTGGAGCGGCCGGGAGCGTGGGGGCCGGGGGCGTCCCTGACGCGCGGCAGGGACTCGGACCCGGCACAATGGCCTCTCGCAGGGAAGAGGAGTGAGTGGGCGATGTCCTAGGACCGGCGCAGACAGGGGACGGGCGCGGAGACTGAGCAGAGGGAAGGACGGCAGCCGGGCCCCCGGGGCTGGAGCGGGGCAGGATCCAGAGCCCGGCCTCACTGGCGTGTCCCCGGCCTCCTGTGGTCCGGAGGTGCCTCCGTCCGTGCTGGGCATGGACGTGCTCCCACCATATTTGTAATAAGGCCCCGCGTCCTGCCTGATGGAAAACCAAGCTGCTGGGAAAGAGCACCGCGCGGGGAACCCCAGGACCAGGGGAAGGTGGGGTTAGAAATGAGGCAGAAAGACCGAGAAACAGCCTCCAGGGGAGGAAGCGAGGAGTCGGGGCCCTGCAGGCAGACCCCGGGGAGAGGGTGGGGTCCGCCGGCCAGAGCAAGGGGCTGAGAAACCCCTGTGCTGGGAACCTGAGCCACGCGGGGCCACCGCTCCCTCGACCACTCGCACTGTCCCCGGGGAGGCAGTTCTCAGGTGGTCGGGGTGGTTCTGGAAAAGCACCCCCACCCCCACCCGCAGAGACAGAAGGCGGTAGACAGACCCCCAGGCGGCCATGTACTATTTCCACGGGTCCTGGTCAGACGACGGGGCTCCTGACGCCTGGATGGCGTTGTCCTCGGGCTCCGTTGCTGAACGGCGTTCAGGTCACCTGGCGCCTGACGGGCTTTCTTTCTACTGACTCTACAAATGATTGAGAGGGTTGAATCCCGCAAGGAAAAGCCTGGCTGGTGTTGGGTCCTGCACGAGCTCCTGGCCCGTGGTCGCCTAGGAGGAAGGGGCTTTGCTCACGGCAGCCTCTCCCAGCGGGAGACCCCTTGCTGCGCCCGTAAGTAACTACTGTACCGCCGAGCAGGAGTTTCCGTCCTCGAAATGAATTCCTGGCCTTAGGGTGTGAAGGGAAGAGTGGAAGGTCCTCCTCCCAGGTAAAGCACCCCCTGCCTTGAGGCGATGGCGTAAAGGGGAGTCAAGGGTGCAGCTTCACTGTTTAAAAAAAATAGGCTTAATCTTTATTGTTGCGGGTATGAGACGCCCCCTTTCCCCCATTGGCCCCTCCGCCCCATTCCTGCCCCCCAGGCCTTCCGCACACTACCGTTCGTCGGTGGTCTGTGCATAGATGTAAGCTCCTTGGCTAATCTCTTCCCGCCCCCCCTTCCCTCTGAGATCCTCAGTCTGCTCCATGCTTCAGTGTCTCTGGATCTGTTCTGTTCATCCGTTTATTTTGCTCATTAGAGTCCACATATCAGTGAGATCGTGGGGTATTGTCTTCCTCTGCCTGGCCTGTTTCACTCAGCACAATACTCCCCAGGCCCCTCCAGGCTGCCCCAACGGGTAAGGGACCCGTCTTTTTCACAGCTGCGTAGTACTCCGCGGTGTCCGTGTTTCCTCAGACCTTGTCATGGGAACGGGGCTAGGCCGAGGCCCGAGTGCTACGCCTTCCTCAGTTCTTCAGATAGTTCAGTCTTGAAGTTTGAAACAGCGTCAATTAAATTTCACTTGCTTTGAAAACAATTTGAAAAACTGGGGAAGGGGTAGCACTCAGGCCTCGGCCTAGTCCCGTTCCCATGACAAGGTCCGAGGAAACATCCCTCCCTCCCGCTGTTGGCTCGGATGGGACAGAAGACGCAGTTTAGCGATTCAGAGCCGGGCTTTATTCCTGGGGGTTCCCCCGGGCCCCCAGCCACAGCCTCTTAGGTCCTGCACGTGGCCAACGAGAGACCCCAGCCCGGTGACTGCAAACATAACTCCCACCCCTGAAAAGTTTCCTCGGGCCTGAATTGAACCAATGGCATAGTTTAACCCGAAGGACCATTTTCACAGAGTTTCATGAAAATGGAATGTGCGTCTTTGGCTTTGATATATGTGCTATATTTCAGTCTGCCGTTGAAAAAACGTTTCATGAAAGTTTATAGGCTAAACATTATCTGCCCCCGAGAAGGTGCTGCTGAAAGGTAGTAGATCCGAGGAGCAGAGGGCTTCCTCTTATTTACTCTTTTCCGCATCTTGAGACTAACCTGTGGAGTCTGAATTTCTTGCTCCCTTTATGAAGTGTCACCAGTGTTAGTAGAAGCCTTGAAACTAAAACCTAAGCCCTCTCCGCATCCAGACGTCTGTGGGGAACCGGAGTTGATTGCACTGAAGACAGTTGGCTCAGGAGCCCTAAGCGCCTGCGGCTGCTCTGCAGGGACCCGTCGGGGCTTTGGCGCGGCCTTCGGCTCTGGCTCAGCCACGTCCTTACACTTTTCTACTGGAGAGGTTTTCTGGCAGGAAGTTTCCGGCTCTGTAATTAACATTCCACAGTGAGGCTTTGACACTAATTACAGCGTAGCCGAGACAATAATAGCAGGAGAAACGCTAAGGCTGAATGCAGGCTTTCTTGGCACACCCCGGCCACCTCCTCATTGGCTGGGGACCATCCTCGGTGGCTAGAAAACAATCCACGCGGAGCGGACGTGTGTGGACGAAGGCGACGCACTCACACGGGCAACAGGCGCTTCTGCTTGGCCGGGCTTGGCGGCCGCCGCTGCTGGTTTGGACCAAGTGTGATGGGCAGAGCCCGCGGAGAGCTCCAGCCCGGACGTCCGTAGATGCAGCGGCCTCCGCCCGAGGGATCTTGAGCGGCTTCCAGGTTGGACCCGTCTTCAAAGGCTCGGTGATGGCCTTCTACCCCCTGCAGGTGGCCGGGCTGGTTCTCGGGTTCGTGGGCACGCTCGGGACTCTTGCCACCACCCTTCTGCCCCAGTGGCGGGTGTCGGCTTTTGTCGGCAGCAACATCATCGTCTTCGAGAGGATCTGGGAAGGGCTGTGGATGAACTGCATCCGACAGGCCAAGGTCACCCTGCAGTGCAAGTTCTACAGCTCCTTGCTGGCCCTGCCCCCGGTCCTGGAGGCCGCCCGGGCCCTCATGTGCGTGGCCGTGGCTCTCTCCGTGGTCGCTCTGCTCGTGGGCGTCTGTGGCATGAAGCAGGTCCGGTGCACGGGCTCGAACCAGAGGGCCAAGGCGTACCTGCTGGGGGCGTCGGGGGTTCTGTTCATCCTCACGGGCATCCTGGTCCTCATTCCGGTGTCCTGGACGGCCAACATCATCATCCGGGATTTCTACAACCCAGCCGTGCACGTGGGCCAGAAGCGGGAGCTGGGGGCGGCGCTCTTCCTGGGCTGGACCAGCGCCGCCGTCCTCTCCGTCGGGGGGGGTCTGCTCTGCGGGTTCTGCTGCTGCAACAGGAAGGAGCGGGGGCTCCGGTACCCAGCCCCCGGGTACTGTGTGCCCCCCACGGGGCCGCGCGGGGCCGGGGCCGCGGCCGTGCCCAGGAAGCCCTCCACCAGCTACGTCTAGCGCCCGCTGCGGCTCAGCCGGGGGCTACGGTCGATGTGTTTTATTAAGTCCTGCTGGAAACTGTAAGTACGTCGGGCAGGAGGACCTGCCTTGTGACCCCCTCTGAGCTGAGGTGAGCGTGGAAAGGGCACGCGGCCCGTAGCTTGTCGCCTGTGGCCGGGGTGGGAATGACGTGCTTCGGACGCTCCGACGTCGTGATTAAGCGTGTTCACCGTTGTTGGACTTGAATAATCTCCATTCCTGTTGGTGTTGTCGAAACTCAAGTAGGTCCTCGATCTCAGTATAAGGGCGGACTTCTTGTTTCTCACAATCATTTACTATTTACTGGGGAATCCAAGTTACATTGCAATTCATAATGTACAGCAATAAAACATCCTAAAACACAACCTATCTCCCCTCCATATTTCTCATCCTAGCAACTAAAATGACTTTTTTTCCCCCAAAACAATTAGCCTGAAAAATAATAGCCATAAAATCAGGATTTTAACTGAATTTTCCAAAATGTGGAAATGTCCATCCAATGAAAAGACTTGCTATTCTCTTAGGAAATTCACACTTTTAGGGAAAGGGGGGGGGGGGCTCTGGTGTATCTTAGGCTATTTAAGAAGATGGATTTTGAGGCATCTCATTTATACAGTTAAACTTGCTTAGAATGATTTATTAAAAAAATACCTTATAATTGGGGAGTAATATGCGTTCATAGCCTATGACTTTCCCCCCAAGCAGACAAGGCTCACCCGCGGACGGCTGTGGACCCTCAGTCCCCACCCGGCGGGAACGTGGCCTCCAGGAGGGAGCTGAGGTTTGCCGTCGGAGGGAATGGTTTCTGTTCCTTGTTTTAATTCTCTAGTCATCAGGCAGGTCGACGCACGCAGAGCACAGCGAAGGATCGAGGCAGTGACTCAGGCAGTTAGTCAGGCCAACGAAAATACCTTCTTTCTCTCCAGTGAGTAAACAGGACGGCTGGAGCGTCGTGCTCAGCCTGAATGCGGCGCGTTGCTTCCCGGTGTCTCCCTCCCGGGTCTCTAAGCCGGCGTCAGGGTTGAGTGTGTGTGCGGCCGGGGGACGCGGGTGGAGGGGTTTGGGGGCTGCTCTGAGGACCCCCACCCGTGTAAGCCAATCAGTGTTTATCCAGTCACTTTTAACTCTTCAAAAATTGTATTTTGTAATAAAAATGTATTTCATTATATCACCCGATGGCAATGAACAGATTAAATGTATTTACTGCACGCTCATCTTTATTAGAATAAAGCGAAATATTTCCTGTTTTTAGTAATGTTGATGGAACTGTGGGGTCAATTTAAGAATGAATTTCTGTCTGCAAAAGATCACCTGGTAACTGAAACTTTATCCAGAAATAACTTCAGCCTAGATGTTCGCGGCAAACCTTCGCTCCCTTCCACAAATTGTCAGCGAGGCCTCGGTAGCTCAAACCCTTGACGCTATAAAATCATATTAAAAATGATAGTCATACATTGAAGGCTGCATAAAGGGTTAATATCATCAAGAAAAGCAATTATTTATTTGTTTTTTCTATGATTGTTATCTTTTTAAGACAATTCGTCAAGGTCCCAATGTTGGGTGGGTTGAGGGGTCATTTATCTTATGCGGCAAATAAGGCATCGGGACAGACGAGGCGCCCGCTTCAGGTGTCACGGAGTCGCCTGTCCCGCCCTTGGCCCCTGGGAGGAGTCGTTTGCCCCGCAGGACGGCTCCAGGGTCTGCACGGGAGTGTCGGGGGGCAAAGGGCAGAACGCTGTGACTCGGTGGAATCGCGCCGCTGCTGGAGGTGACAGGAGCTACTGAGTGTGGGGCAAATTTTATCTCAGGAACTAAGAGTTCTCTTCCTTGCTCTTTCACTCATCGAGGTGAGCTCTTCAAGA